AAATATATAATAAAAATATAGTTTATTTAATATTTAATTATTAATAATTACACCAATAAATATCTTTTTTATCTAATTTTAAAGTTGCAATGTGTACTTTTTTCATTAGAATATATAACAAAAATACAGTTTATTTTAATATTACCATTGATAACTATGCCAATGAGTTTACTGTTAATTGTTGGAAATATATAATTATTTCCGTTATATGTATAATTATATTTGAATGAATCATCCGTTTTAGGTACATGATTTTTTTCAAGTATTCCAAGAGACTCCTTAGTAAGTACAGTGCTATGTTTGTCTAATCCAATTCTGGATTGATATCTACGATTATCAAGTTGCTTCTCAAAATCAATTTCGTCAAAATATAAAGATTCAATTTGCGCCAGTTCCGCTATAGTTTCCGAACTAAGGCCATATGTGTCATACAGCTTAAATGCAACAGTTCCGGGTAATACATTCATTTTACGTCTATAAATAACACATTCATTACATGTATATTATGTATTACACATAAAAGAAGAGGAAGAGATGATTCGTATAATAAAAAAATTTTCTTAAATATCTTACAACTCTTTCAACATAGATTGTAGATCTTTGTAACCGTCAACTAGACCAGCAGCCATCCAATCAGTAATTGCTGCTAATTCGGGACGAGTTTCAACCATTTTGCTCCATATTTTACCAGAAGTCTTCCGTAATCTTTTAAATAAATCTTCTTCAAAATCTATTATTCTTTGTACCTGATGAATTGCATCCAACATTAAGTCATGCAGAAGAGTAAGTTTTGTTTTAATATATATTTTAAAACGATTATTAACTAGTTTTAATCTTATACCTGTTTCAAATTGCTGTGCAATTCTGGATAAACTATGCTCAGATTATCAGCTACGTTACAGGTAAGTTTTGAAATTATGCCTGATCTGTTGAAAACTTTCTCCCCTACATCTATTGCGTGTCTTAATATTTTCCGTAGTTTTGGGCTAAAAGTGTATATTATATAGACACATTATATACTATGTTTAAGAAAAATATAAATATATAAAATTGTAAATATTGAAATCATACTGTTGTTCAGGCAACATATTATCTGCTAAAGCAACAGTAACCATTCTTGCATGATCTGCTAGGATTCTGTAACCGTAGTCAATTTTGCCTATATCGTCGTTATCAAACGTTCCTTTGTATTCTGGCGCATTCGAACATTTTCGTATTGCATCAAACAACGGCTGGAAAAGATCTGTATCATAATTTGAGGTTTTTCCTTGTAATAAGGTAACTAGTCGTTCAAGTCCCATGCCTGTATCAACATGATGTTTTGGTAAAGGTACTATATATCCATTCGCAAGCCTAACATAAAATATTATGATATTGAATAGAGTATGTAATTTTATACTAATTGATCAATAAGTTTTGTGACATAAAAACAAAATTTCAATATTTATGCTTAATATACAAACCAAATAATAAAAAAATACAGCATCAAAAGCATATTATGTAATATAATTTATAAGATTTAAAGTACTATAATAGATCCAATAATAAAGATCCCTCACCTTTCATACTGTATAAAAACTATATTCCATAATTCCATAAGATCAGCATATCCCTTATTCACTCTCTCGGCTTGATTAGCAGCCCGTTTCATATAGTCTACATGTATCTCTGTACAAGGCCCACAAGGACCTGATACTCCCATTTCCCAGAAATTGTCTCGCATACCGAAAGGTAAAACTTTACATTCTGGCAGACCAAGTCTCAACCAGATATCCTTACACTCCAGATCTGGGCTCATGCCTAATTTCTCATCACCTCCGAAATATGTTACATATAGATATTCCTTAGGTATATTATATACATTTGTTAACAGATTCCAGGCATATGAACAAGCTTCTTCCTGAACAATCGGATTATACAAAGAAGCACTGCAAAGGCAGACAAACGCGCAGATATATTTTTTTTTCATTGTACCTTGAAATAATCTCCAAAAGACCAATTGCCAAGCATTTCAAAAAAGGTATGATGATAACTATCGTTACCGACAACACTGAGGTCATTGTGCTTTCCACCAACCCTGATACACTTTTGCGAGTTTGCAACTCTCGTCGCAGGAGGTTTGTAATAATTTAGAAAAACCCCTTTAAACTAAAAAATAAAAATAAAATAAGAATATTCAAAGCAGACTTATGATTGAGAACAAAATTTTCAGAACTGACAGGCATACCTGATTCATACCAGCGTTAATAAATGCCAAAGAGTGATCGCTAATCGGAGCTACAGGACTAGAACGAACAATGTCGTGTTTTAAATCCTTTGAGAAGTAATCCAGAAATTCGTTCCTGATCAGGTTAGCCGGTTTGTTGTTTGTGAACTGGCTGTATGGACGAATTAACTTAAGAGACATCATTCTCTTCTCGTTATGGGATTCGTAGTAAATAACACAAAATGATCAACTCTCCCAAGACGACGTAGACCTCCACGTACGTGCACCAAATTATCGCTATCGCATTGCTTGGCCGTGTACGACGTAAAGTGTATGGTTAGGATATGCACTCACCTAGTGTCTATAAACGACAACGTCGTCGCTTGTGTAATCCATTCCAAAATGATCCATCATGTCGGAGATGAAACGAGTTCGATCGAAATTGCGGATCTACTGATGATTAGGCACAAAAAAAACATGAAAAAAAACTGCACTTTAAAACTCACGCCAAGTTTGGCAATTACTTTCTTCAAATTGTGCTCCCTTATATCTAGAAGTTGTCTGCTAAATTTGAATATTCGAATTAGCAAACAATTCGCTTCAAATTGTATAGAATACTCTTGATATTTTCTTGGAAGTAGAAATGAAAGAAATATTGCGTTTTCCATTTTCTTCCTACTTCTATCGAATATTTACCGAATGTTACTAGAAACTCGATATAAAATTATCCATTAATTTTGAAATAAAATCATTTTATTAAGAAGATTGTATATATACATCGTTCTAAATATTAATACTAAATGTCGATTATGAAATTACTATGAAGTTATATGATTTTTCCTTGATTTTATCTAAAAGATACACGCTTTTAACAATATGTTAAATAAGCTATTCTTATATATATACATAAAACTATATTATACATAAAACACTATACACATAAGTCGCATGGAACTTTTTCTAAAAGAAAGATGCTCTTATTCTTTATCATACATTCCTGATGCACGCATCGTTTCAATATAAACCAGTCTTTACAAGTAACAAATTGTACACTCCACTTGGTACTCACAACAACATATATCTTTGTTTAATATTTGGTGGACAAGAAAAATGAAATCATTCTAGAGCGTTGCGAGCGTCAAGTAGAATACACTTAAAAATAAAAAAATAGTCGATTTATAAAATACACCGAATCTTAAATTTAATCCTCGATTTCTAGAAGATCGCCACCCATAGCTTTCCAAAAAGCGGTGACTACTTGTTCCGCTACTAAACGTCTTTCATTTGTTGGTAAGGATGCCGCATGTTCTTTCATGGTCATTAATTGACCGTACAGCTCTCCAAAATCCGCATTTTCGTCACCCATGATGCCGTCTGTAAATTTAAGAACCGAATCAAATGAGCAATATTTTGTAAATTCGCTTTTATTCAATTCGTGATCAAAGCAGAACTGACCGAGCATGTCTTGCATGCGTAATGTTTCTGAAGGGTCACGTGTTAATCGAATATTCTCAAACTGTTCTTCAATCTCATTTACTTCCGATGCTTGTCCTACACACAATTTGTCTGCAACGAAATGTAGCTTATATAAATGTAATTTCTTTCCACATAAAATATATATATTATGTTTTATTTTAATAACAGAAATTTGATCCGTTACCTTTCAGCACGATATTAGGCCATGTGTTGGCATGCAGAGCTTCTATAATCCTTTCGATGCCATATTTATTACCTTCTGTATCGCATTCGGGGTCTCCTGTTTGCTCCAATTCAATCAACTCAAACTTGTTGTGCAAACACCAATTTAGCACTGGACATACAAGCAAGAGTAACTCTGTGCCCAATATAGAAATAAATGCTTCCGTACATTGTAGACTATACCTTTATCTCGCAGAAATGAGTCTGATATCATACTGCAAGAAAACAACAGTACCTCCGCTGCTGTCAACGAAGTAGCCAAAGATGCCAATTGCTCCAGCTCTTGATCCACCTTATCCTACAGAAAACTGCCGTCAACACAATCGTTGATTTAATTGTTAAATTCCCATTATGTATCTTACTGCTTGTGGATCATGGTACACGATCAACGCATTAATTCCTTCCACTGTGAGTTTGTGGGACAGATTTTCTACAGCGTGTACCAAGACCTGCGACGTATAATATTTGTTGTCAATGTTCCATAGATAATCCACGATCTCATCCTCCTCGGATAAGTGTTCCGCTCCAATGCCTGTGTTACATTAAAAATTACATAAAAAGTATAATTACTATAACTAGATAATTATAGAGAAATATGCATGTGGTGAATCTCGAACTGACGTTCTGCGATTTCCTTAGCTTTCCCTTCTTTCGTGCTAACGATCAATACACGAGGTAGATTCATTATAGAGTAAGATCGGAATACGTATTAAAGAACGTTCAATGAAGTCCAATTAAAGTGCAAACGAAATATGTGAATAACAATTTCAGTCGCAGCAGGTTAAAGGTTAGGTTAGATTCCGCATAGGAACGCAACGACGCGACGCAGCACGCCTGTGCAAAGCTGTCATCCGCTAATCAAATGTATCTTACGTTTATACATAATATAAATTAATATTGTAAATTATAATTTAAATAATTTAGATAAAATTGTATCATTGAAATTATTTTCATCTTTTCCTCTTGGATTGTATTTAAAATTATGTTTCGAAACGTTTTACAAAACGTTCTTATTATAATCTCTTTTTATTGATAAAAATTTTATTGATAAAAATAAATAATAAATAATATTTGATTATAATTAAAATTATAAATAACAATTATAATTAAAAATCAATAAAAAAATATCAAGTGAAAAATAAAAAAAAAACAATAAGGAATATGTGGCGCGTAGAAAGCGCGTGCTCAATAATCTTTCAGTCAATCCAAAGTAAAAGCATGACAAAAAAATATTTATTTTTAATCCATTGCGTAATTTTTGCTATGCAACACTGTGAATTATTTCCTTTTACATATCTCGTTTTCCGTAATATAATAATTTATGTAAATAGATACGCGATAATTGGCAAGAGGACATCCTGAAGAAGATAATGTATTCATTGCACATTTTATGTGCGCACTAAACTGAAGAGATTCTATTGGCCATGATAGGAATACATTCTAGTTCACATTATTTGAGATATTGATGCATTTCGTAATGATATAAAATATTCTTTTCGGCGAAGAAATAGGCGGAAGACGTTATCTTCATTATGAGATAAAAATCTTCGTAGAATAAATAATCAATAATTTAACGATAAGTTTCTGTATTTTTGTTAAAAGAAGAATTTTGTTGCTATTTTGATAACACGAACAATAAACATTCTATAGAGGCTGATAAAAGTTTGAAATAATGAAATTGAATTATCAGAATCAAGTGATTGATTCTTTTTAAAACAACAAGAGACAATCATTTGATTCTGATGATTCAATTTCATTATTTCAAATTTCTGTCAGCTTCTATAATTTTTTTTTTTTAAGTAAATAATATTTTTTTCTAATTGCAAGAAATCTTATTCTTTCTGAAGAGTGTTTTTCTAGCATATATTTAGAAATTTCTGCAATGTGATCTTCTTCAATGTTAGAAAACTAGAGAAAGAACGCGAAAACTGATATCTCTGCCAGAGAAAGAGTATTATTTCTTATCACAAACTCTATCGCGTAAATTATATAAATTTAAATCAACAGGACGAAAGAGATGTTCCGGCCTTCGGTTTTATCTATTCGATACGTTTGTGTTCTAAAGCTTTGCCGCCCAAGTAGCAACATATATAAGGGTAAGCTGAACTATAAGTATTTTATATTACAATAGAGAACGTTTGAGATAGTATAATGTAATATTTCCGTATAGTGTAATTCACATTCATATTGATCAACAAATTAATCCGACATGAGGCGATTCATTCTTTTGTACATAATTTGTAACATTGCTTTTTAAACAATATAATTACGTTAAATTAATTTATATTAATTACATTGATTTTATTAATTATTATAATTACGTTAATAATTTTCTGAATTTACATTAATTTAAACTTGGAGCAATTTAAGCATTTTTAAAAATTTTTCTATTTATATAAATTTATTTGTCTTTTATATACATATACAAATTTTGTGTATCTTCTGACAATTCTTCTCAAGTGTATATAGATATATCAGAAAGTAATTCGAAATTAACAATTATTTCTTATGTGCAAATATGTACATTAATTATGCTTTCCTTTAAATTTTTATAGCGTCTTTGTCGGTGCATTTTTAATAAAGGATGTCACGCCGAGAGCCCATAGATATCCCTTAAGTCTGACACGGTTGTTCCATTCAAAAAGATTAAATGATAACAAGAAAGGGACGCAGTCCGTATGCGATTCCGACGAATGCAAAAAAATGGGTATTTATATCTTATTATAAGTAATTAATTCTATTTTTTTCCATTTGGTCTATTAATTACATCTTCTTTTGCTCAGCTAATACGTTTCTGGAGAACATGAATAAATCCGCGGATCCGTGTAATGATTTTTACGAGTACGCATGTGGACGATGGGAAGAGCATAATCCCATTCCAGAAGGTCGCGTTGAATGGTCTGTGTTTCATCAACTCAATAAGAAAACCGAACAGCAAATTCAAGGTGACTATTTTATCTACATGTTGCTGTATATAAAACTCAAGATTTAAATATATTTTTTGTCTTATGGAATTTAGAAATTCTGGATTCTGAGCCTGCGAAAGACGATATTCGATTAGTTAAACTGGCCAAAGATTGGTACAAAGCTTGTATGGACACGGGTGAGGACGTTTATTATAATTGAAGTATCGAATGAAAGATATACAGTTATTATAATATCAGTTTTATGATGTGATAATTTATTAATATTTCCAGATGCAATGGACCAGCAGGGAATCGAACCGCTGATTTCTACCCTATCACGTTTAGGTGGCTGGCCTATGTTAACAAATAATTGGAACGAGCAGGAGTATCCATGGCAAGAAGTGGACGATCAATATATGCGTTTGACAGGAAGAAATTCTTTTCACGATGTGCGGATACAAAAAGCTTCAGATCCAATAGTTGTGGTGGTACTTGTTATATTAATATGTTCTTTGAATCATCTTTATTCTAAAGAAATTTATTACATCTGAATTAAACGTCGTACTTCTTTGATTTTAAAAACAAAATAAATCCTTTCAAATAAATTTATATATTTGTATTTAGATCGATGTTCCGCATTTACCACCGGGGTCAAAAAAACTGCAGAGTGTGTTAGAGGCTAAAGATGAAAACGAAGATGAAAGCAATGAAGAAGATGAAAGTGAAAGTGAAAGTGATGAAGATCCGAGTGATGAAGAGAAGCAAAGTAATGAGGATCACGAGCCTGGAAGCGAAGGCGAAGATGAGTTTAAAGACGATGATACAGATAATAACAGTGACGAGGAAGATTATGACGATGATGATGATGATGATGATGATGATGATGATGATGATGATGATGATGATGATGATGATGATGATGATGATGATGATAATGATGACGATGATCCAAATAGTGACGATAATAACAATAATATCGATATAGATGAACAAGATGAAAAAACAAAGAAAAAAATAAGTAAGAAGAAAGTCACTAATAAGATCGCTCATAAAAGAAACAAAAAAGTACGGCACGTTGGACAGGCAAAGAGCGGTAACCGGAATGTTAAAAAGCACAGCATCCATAAGACGAGGAAACAAAGAACCAAAAGATGGACAAAAACGACAGGAGTTCACAGCAAACGAACGCAGCATACTAATCGTCACAAAAAATTACATATTCCGAAACTCCAAAGAAATCATTTAAAAAAGGTAGTTAGAAGAATGAAAAGAGCCAATTTAGACACGACATCGCAGATTAGCACAGATGAAACAAATAATGAAGAAAATGAGATACAACAGTATATTAGCTATATTTTAAACGTAGCTAATATCATAGCCAAGAAAATGGATAGCGATATTTCACAAGAACGTCTCGTAAATGATATTAATGACATGGTCGAGTTCCAATTAAGATTGATTCAGGTGACGATCATGTTGTTGCTTTGCATTTAGAGCATAAGAAACAAACAAAGAGATTTTTGATTAATAATTTCAATTATTATTTGTTCTAGATTATGCCACAAAAGCTTTTCAATTTAATCAGCTTGGATTTCAGCGTGGATACTACGCTTGATAAGCTTCAAGACTGGTTTGATGAATACGAACCTAAAACAGCTAATGGAAAGGTAATTAAACTCATAATCTATTAATTTAATTTGATTTCTTAACTATATTAGTTTTTCGGTCTTTATAATTAGATAAGTATGTATGATTAATACAATTGAAAATAACACTGTAGATTGACTGGAAAAACAAAATCGAGACATTGTTCAATGAGGCGGACAAGCCCGTAGGTGGCAATGTAAGTATAGAAGTTAATAAACCACATTATATTGAATCTCTTGTTTCCTTGCTGGATGAAACGCCAACTCGAACAATCGGTAAGTTTAAAAAATCAACATCGTCAATATACATGCGCTTATTGAAAATATTTTTTAGTGAATTACATACATTGGAATTTCATAAGTAGAGTCATACATACTACCACGAGTGAAATGCGAGATTTATATAATTCATGGGAGAAAATTAGCACGGGCAGTTATTCGAGGTTTGATATATACTTTTCTATATACACTGAGAAAAAAAATGCTATTGAATCAACAGCATTAGTCTAATTTAATTGGAAATAATTTTGTTAATTCAATGACATTATTAATGAAACGAAGATCTTATTAAATAAGAGCATGATATACTGTTTTATTAATAACATTGAATTAACAAAATTATTTCCAATTAGACTAGGCTGTTGATTCAACAGCATTTTTTTTCTCAGTATAGATTATATCTATTTACTTAACATATTAACTTAAAATATGATGGATTTACATTACACAATTTGTATTAATTTAAAATTTAGTGATAGATCGAAAATATGCAAAGACTCACCAGAGATGAATGATATTCTTGCGTATCAATTTGTAAGAAAATATTTCACTGAGGATATTTTAAAATCAGTAAGTTTCATTTCATTTACTTTTTATATCCATAGTCTCTGTACTGACAGATTTATTTAAGTCGAACTTATTTCTATAGGCAACGGAAATGCTCAAAGAGGTAGAAGAGGAAATGGAATCTCTGATTAAACAATCTGATTGGATGGACGACGATGCTAAAGAGTTTGCTTTAGAAAAATTAAAAAAATGGGAAAAACAATTGGATATCCGGAATGGTACAACAATATGACAAGCATTCAAGAAACTTATAAAGACGTAAGTTTTTTAAAAATTGTAATCACTATGTATATTTTGTATGTATGTAATTGCTATGTATATTTGTATAACAATTATTATCTTATATAAAATTATTCGATTCCATTAAAGCTCATTATCGGATCGTCATATTATGAAAACACACTTCGATATAGCAGATTTAGCAAATGGAAGAACCTACGAACGGTTACACAAGAATCTAGTCTCAAAGCAATGCTTACGTGAGATATCCATTTATTATTTAATAAATTTATGATTTAAATAATCTTTATGCGTAACATAATTCACATTGTAGACCACAGATGAATCCGCTTGAAATAAATGCCTTTTACATGGTTTGGCTAAATTCATTGGGTACGTAACAAGTTTTATGTTTAATAAAGTGACAGACTATGATTACAATATGTTCATCATTATTAAACATTATACTATACATAATAAATTAATAAATTTGCTCAATTACACTTTTATATATTTGTAATTTTTATTTAACAATAAAAGTTAATTCTTTTTGTGACAGTTGTCACAGCAGCGGATTTCCAGAGCCCATGGTTCGCTTATGGTCGACCACAGTAAGCGATTCTAAATAAATTGATTCTAAATAAGACTCAACATATATATATATACATACATCTCATATATATATATATAT